TTAATTATCAGTTAGAGGGGAGCCATAACTTTGATCCTTTGAATTCGTCAATTATAGTTTATTCTGCTTTGACTTTGGGAGTTAGACGAACTAATTTTCCTATATAACAGCAATCTTATTTCTTAATTAAATAGGCAGGTCAAATCGTTTTTTTTTATGAAAAAAAAAATAAAAATCGTTTCCAACGTGCAAGCTTATCACACTGATTTCCTTCTTACACTTTCGTCTTCAAATCAATGTTTTCCGTCGAAGTTGATTGGATATAAGTTTATTTGGATTCAACTTATATAAAATTTATTTGGGTTAATGTATACAATTGAGAGTATAAAAAGAATTTACTCTATCAGTGTATTTTAACATAGTGCAGCATATTTCATGTCTTATTTCTAGGTTAATGATTCCACTTATTAGGAACGATTACCAATAGTTATTTTCCTTGGCTTTGTAATTTATCTACACAATTTTAATCTTCAAATCTCTTATTACCAGCAGTGTTATCAAGGTAAAAAGCGCAAAAGAGCTCTAAGATCCGTTGGCTTTAAGCTCAAAGTGCTAATAAAGTGCGGGCTTCAGTGAAAAGAGGCGCAAAAGGAGTAAAAAATACAAATATGTATGGCAAGTCTAAGACTAATAATTATAAACATGAATAACAAATATATGAATAAAGAAATTGAAAAATTATGATAAAGTTTTATATCAATTGGCTAGTGTTGTCTTTTTAGGATTACGCTTATTAGCATGGAAAAGTATGTCTAGCAAGCGAGGTGAAGCGCACAACGCACGAGTGAAAAGAAACAACATGATCATAGAGGATTAAAATGCGGTTTAAGATTGGTGTGACAGCCTTTGTCGGTTTAGGTTTGATTAAAAAGAGTCTCTCCTATATATATCTTCACTAAAAGAGAGAATAATTTTTGTTTCACTTCTTTTTTGATAGGCCTGTTACTCTTTTTCCTCTAACTTTATCTCTTCGTGCAATATATCGATTACCTATAAAAAAACTTCTGAATTTCATGCTCTGCCTGTATTTGTTGAAACAGTGCATGTATATTATGTATTGATTTAAGTTATATACATATACAACATCAAACGTTTTACACTGTCAGTATGTATAGTTTTAGCCGTGATAGCTGGTAAAATACTGTTTTTATTATGTTACCAATTAATGGTTATCAAAAATTACACCTTTAATTAACTTATAAATAACATAGTGGAGCTTGGCGCAGCGTAAGTGTTGTCGCTGAGTAACAGTCCATCCCACTAGTGATATTGTCCGCTTTGGACCTAGGCTCGCATGGTTTTAAAACGCGTTACTAGGGTCTAAGGCATGTTTACTTATATACCCAACATTTCTCCCGTGTTTTATCGATGTAGGATTCGCCTGGGGTTTCACACACTCTGTGACCACGAGGCCACGGTCTCAAGCCGTGGAAACAGCCTCTTGCAGAAATAAAACGTAAGACTGCGTACAATAGAGCCAATGTTGTCTGGCCCTTCCCGATCCCACGCATAGCGAGAGCTAGTGCATCGGGCTGCCTTTTCACCTTATAAATAGATGAACATCATGAACTGACTGCGTATATATTTTTTATAGCATCAGTGCATGGAACTTACACTCATTACGTATTAATCTGAGAATTTGTTGGTCTTTGCATATTGCAGCTGGAAAATTGCCAAAAAACAATGAGATTCCATGGAGAGGAGACTCAGGTTTACAAGATGGATCAAAACTCACAGACGTTAAAGGAGGGTTGATTGGAGGGTATTATGATGCTGGAGATAACACAAAATTTCACTTTCCAATGTCATTTGCAATGACAATGTTGAGTTGGAGTGTCATTGAATATGAACACAAGTACAGAGCCATTGATGAGTATGATCATATCAGAGATCTCATCAAATGGGGCACTGATTACTTGCTTCGTACTTTCAACTCCACTGCCACTAAAATTGACAAAATTTATAGCCAGGTAACTAAAAGTTTCGATTTTTAAGTGTTGTGATTACATTTTATATGCATGGAGTTGGTATGATGGTGGTCATATTCCGGAAAATGGTTTTTTTCTTTGAAAATGTTTTCCGATGTTTAGTTGGACAGTGAAAAATATTTTTCCGCAAAAAACAAAAACTTTTATCAAGGGTTGTTAATAATATTAGCAAATTAAATAGTGGTTCTTGATGAAATTTTTAGAATTAAAGCAATAATATGAGGTTAAGAGTTGAGAAAATTGTGAAGAAAAATGACTCTGGAGTTCCCCTCAAAAGGTGAGGGAAGTCATTTACCCATTTGGGTGTGGAGAAAGGGAAAGGCATAATATATAAACAAACCTTCAAACTTGGCTTCAGCTGGCAAGTATGCCCTCCAACTTTAGGTGTGCACAAGTAGGCAACTCAACTTGTATAAAGTTGAACACGTAAACAGAAATGTTGACATGGCACATAAATTTTGGAGGTGTCTAGATGATTATTTTGTAAGTCTAGATGATCATTTTGTAAGTTGGAGTATTCAACTGACAGTGTAGCTGCCTACTTGTGCATACCCAAAGTTGGAGGGCACACTTGACAGCTGAGGCCTATTTACGTAAAATGTTCTTGCTACCACATACAAAAAAAGTGTGTTAAGTTTTCTATTCAGTTAGATTCTATAGAGGTAATTGTAGCAGTATTCATGAAGTCAAAAGATCATGTTATATTGAGTGGAATGACACACAGGAAAATCAACTGAAGTGAAGTTTTAAGCTGAATGTACGACTTGCTATTACTGTTGGAACTTCATACTTAATTATGGTTCCAATGTTCCCTGATCAGGTTGGTGGTTCTCTAAACAATTCAAGAACACCAGATGATCACTACTGCTGGCAAAGGCCAGAAGACATGAACTATGAACGCCCTGTTCAAACAGCTAATTCGGGGCCTGATCTTGCCGGTGAAATGGCAGCAGCATTGGCTGCAGCCTCCATAGTATTCCGCGACAACACACAGTATTCAAGAAAGCTCGTTAAAGGAGCAGAGACCCTGTTTGCTTTCGCCCGTGACTTTGGCAAACGGACTTCATATTGCCGCGGAAATCCATACATTGAACCTTTCTACAACTCCACAAACTACTTCGACGAGTTCATGTGGGGATCAGCTTGGCTATATTATGCTACTGGCAATAAAACTTATATATCGTTGGCGACTAATCCTGGATTGTCTAAGAATTCCAAGGCTTTTTTCATGATCCCGGATTTAAGCGTGTTGAGTTGGGATAACAAATTGCCTGCAGCTATGCTGCTGTTAACTAGGATGAGGATATTCTTGAATCCAGGTTACCCTTATGAGGAAATGTTGAGCAGTTATCACAATGTCACTAGTCTTACGATGTGTTCCTACCTACAGAGGTACCAAGTCTTCAACTTCACTAAAGGTAATATGCCTTAATTATCATCCTCTTCCAAGAACATGTCATATATATTCCTAGTTAAGGACAAATTGCTACATTAGGTAGAAGTTCAGCAAAAATTATAAACTGGTCCGAGATAGGCTTGTTCAATTGTTCTACGAAGTGCTCTGACTCCTGATATCCAGAGGCAGATCTAGAATTTAAACTTGATAGGTTCAACCTTAAATGTTCTCAGCACTAAACACATTGTAACTTTTGCTTAGGTGGACTGATCCAGTTGAATCATGGCCGTGGACAACCGCTACAGTATGTGGCAAATGCAGCGTTTTTGGCATCACTCTTTGTTGATTACATGAATGCCTCTGGTGTTCCAGGATGGAACTGTGGCCCTCGCTATATCTCCTTGGATATTCTTCGCCGTTTTGCCACTTCCCAGGTTTGCACATCACTCGCCCTCTCAATATTTGATCAGATTCAATAGAGTGCAAACAGTTAGAAATCTACAACAAAAGCATTCATCACATGCAAAGTGGATCCAGGATTTAAATTTTGTGGATTCAACTCTTAGAATTCTTGGAACTAAATTCAATGTAATTTTGACATTACGGTATCGAAATACTGGGTTGAGTTGAATGTACAACACGAGCTCCATCCGCCGCTGCTTACATGGTCCATTAAAACTGCCAATGTTTTAACTTTTCAGCCACTAAAACTACCATCATGCAGAGGCGGATCTAGGATTTCTAAAATATGGGTGCACCACAAAAAAAGTAGAAAAAAAGTATTAAGTGCGAATTGATCCACTTATAATATTAGACTAACTCTAAAAAATACATACATAAAATACATAGTTTGACGGTGAGACCATGAGTTCACGTACCCATGATTGGGGCTATAAACCCGCCCATGCCATCATGTACTAACATTTTGTCATTTTTGCTTTCATAAAACAGATGAATTATATTTTAGGTGACAATCCCTTGAAGATGAGCTATGTAGTAGGGTATGGAAACAAATTCCCAAGGCATGTACATCATAGGGGTGCATCAATACCCTCTGGTAAAACAAAGTACTCATGCACTGGAGGTTGGAAATGGAGAGATACCAAAAATCCGAATCCTCACAATATTACAGGAGCTATGGTAGGAGGACCTGATAAGTTTGATAAGTTCAAAGACGCGCGCAAAAATTTCAGCTATACAGAGCCAACACTAGCAGGAAATGCAGGACTAGTTGCTGCACTGGTTTCTTTAACTAGCAGTGGTGGCTATGGTGTTGACAAAAATGCCATTTTCTCAGCTGTTCCACCCTTATATCCAATGAGTCCACCCCCACCTCCACCATGGAAACCATAATGTGCAAATTTTGCCTTGAAAACCTGCAGCAGCTTAAATTTTGCCTATTATTTGGCTGGCTATATCCATGTACAAAATTTCGAGATTAAAGAGTTGTTGTAACTCTGTTTATCTTATGACTCCGCGGCTTAATAAAATTCTTGCATTAATTTCTTTTTATAATTTGTTTAAAGTCTGCGCATGGCATCATTGAAGTTACATTGAACTTAAAACGCCTTGAAGAAGAAGCATGTAATAGCATTTCTTGTGAGACAACAATTGAATGCCAGTGAATTCATAGTAGATAAGGCTGATATTTCTTCCATATTCCTTGAAAGAATTACAACAGAGAGAGTTTTACAAATTGATATCGACAATTTCTAATGCATAACGGTATATATGATTCTAACTTATTCTATATGTATTGATAAATGAATGAGAGGAAAAAGAACACTTCAGGTACTATTGCTGATAACAAGAACCTGGTTCTTCTGGTGCAGCTCGCCCGCCTCCAGTTAATGGACCAGAAGCAACTCCTCTTTGATTCAATAGGCATCTAAAATGAGCCAACCTGCGAGTAACTTGACTTGGATTCTTGGCAAGTTTGTCATAAGCAGTCCATAGCCTCTCTTTTGTGCAGCAAGTTAGCCAGCGAAAAAAAAGAAGAAGAAACATGTTACAACGAGAATGACGATTGGATTTAACATGTCAACTCAGAGGCTATCCTCTTCTGGAGCCATGTGTGTTAACGTGTCATAGATAATAGTCTAATACACATGAAACAATGGCTACTGTCACAAAAGTAGCAAGAAGAAGGAATAGTGAAAAAAGCAAGTTCATATTAAAAGTCAGCACAAAATATCTGATGTGTGTGCTACCTAACAATGTTTGAAGTATGTCATTGTTTCATATGTGGCCATGAATGTTGTAGCACATTAGGAGAAGGACAAGAGAGAATACACAGAAGTGGCTCCTCTGAGAAGTCCAACAGCATTTGAAAGATGAAAAATACTTCTGATAAGACTAAAAGGAACTTTTATGTTCTTTATAAAACAAAAATAAAAAAAATAAAATAATTGGAGCATCGATGAGATTCAAATTAGTATATAGATGATTTGTTGCTCTTTGTAGATGATGTTATACTCGGGACCTTTTCATATCAAAGATAATTACTTTGTAAAACTAATAAAAAGGTAGAATCTAGATTTCAGGAAGACAAATTCAATAAACGAGAGAAAAGACTACCTGCCGCTGCTGCTGCACGAGGCCATATGGTTGTTTCGATGTTTGATCCATCAATATGCTCACCCCACATACATACCTCACCCCCAATAACCAGCCGTTGTTGCTCGGGATTTGTAATATTAGTTAGTGGCTCATTTGAATAGAAATCCTGCCATGTGGTATCTATATGGTCCAAATACCACTTGTCCTGGTTACTTACAATGCACCGCAATCCAGCTGCAGTTACTTGCTGAGCAACACCGCCCCCGAGCCTGCCAGATATAATACAAGCACAAAATTAGTCCACCAATTCTTTGTTTTTTATTTTCTATATGGTAAAACGTATCCTCCCAAAGCCCCCCAGCCCAGGAGCCCAACATTGCATTTTCCCACTTTGCTTCTTGGGTGACTCGAACCCCAACCTTATGATTGGAGGTGGAGGGGACCTTCACCAATAGACTATCCTTCTCTTGTCTATAAGAGATTATGAATTTCACAAAACTATAAGTGAAAAATAATTTAGTCATCTGTGGAAGAACACCTGAGTTAATCTTCATACTCATCACGGAGAAGAATGAAGGAGATGGAAAAGACAACAGATATATGAACTAATATGGATCTTCCAGCTTATACCACACGACAAGAGGACGTACCAGTTGTGAACTATAGTTTTTGGGCTCAACTTATTTCCAAAGTTATTGAACGTCTCTTCCCTGCAAATTTGAAGATGAAAGTTAAACCAGTTACTGTTAGAATTCTGAAATCTCATAACAAAAGGTCTTCCTACCAGTTTATAATTTGATATCCATGAGATAAAGCTATCTTCTGTGCTCGCAAGACGAAATACTCATAAGCAGTGGTTCCATTCAACCGGTGTTGCTTCAACCTGTCAAATAGAACATTTGTATAAGATAATTAGCTGTAACACTTCGCTTGTTACTTCCTTTTTGTTACCATTACCTTTCCTTGGCACTTTCAATCTGCAAGGACAAGGCCTTTCTAGAGCATTCTACAATTTACTGCATGCTATCAATGCTCATTTGCTTCTCAATTCAAGAACTACCCCTTTACAGTCCTTGTAAATGTAAGCACGTTACGGCTTTGTCAGATTTTTTCGAGGCTTCTATTTTGTCCCACAAATGAGCATTAATCGGACAGTTAGAAGTTTGCGTTATTTCTACTTTACATTTGATATTCAGCCACATAACCGGGTCTGATATGCATCTTGCAGTGATGTTCCGGGAAACTGATTGGTAAGTACTTCCAATTACAGAAAGGTTTTGTAGATTAAGTAATCGATATGATTAAGAGAGTTGCAACACTTAACAAGCCACGCAAATGAAAAATGACTTGGTCTGAATTGTAGCTTATAAGAGTTAATATAACGACATAACCATCGCCAATGTTTTCGTCCACAGGAATAACAACTAAAATACAAAAGAAATAATCGAATAAGTGTTCTGTAATGCTCAGTAATGCATGTTGCTTTACTGAATAAAAAAAATATCTAGTAAAAGGAATAAAAAGCTTCAAAGGATAATTGATTAACTTGGAAAATTTGTCGAAGATATGCAATACTGACAGTACAACAACAACAAAGACCCAGTGAATTTCCATAAGTGGGTTCTGCAGAGGCGCAGACCTTACCCCTATCTTGACGGTAGAATATCGAAAATAAAATCACAAAAAATATTTACCACTTTCTTATACGAGGAGTTAACGTCCAGCAACCTGCAGGAAACATCCAATTGCATGTTTCAGTTAATTACCTTCAACTTGCTGAAAGTTAAGATCAGTAAACAGTACAAGCAAAAAGGATTAGTACCCGAGTAAGAGAGATTGAAGACTAAAGTCAATGCCTGATACAAATACATGTGCTTGGGTAATATTTAGGTCTAAAGAAACAACTACTTATAGGAAACTGGAGTCTGAAAATTGATAAAGGCGCCTACATACGTATTATTACTTTAATCACTTATGCATCTTACACCTCAAACATGTGCAGCTACCGAATTTGGACTAGTAAATTTTTGTTTTCTCATTAATATCCTTTAAAAATTAAATGTTCAATGACTTAGACAATAAAAAATTTTGCAAACAAAGATCAAACTTCCTGTGAGTGTCGGTTGAACACTAGAATCCTGTTTTTTAATTGGTATCCGTTCAAAATAAATTGTTGAATGACTTAGACAGTGAAGTTTTTGCAATGCGAGATTCAAAGTTTTTGTGAGCGTTTGTCAAACACTACTTCATTCTTCTGTCATGTTAATAATATTTCATCAAACAAAGATGATAGACCATGTCACAAAGAAATATGGATACAATCAAGTCAGATCAGTGATCTGAACATGTTAACTTACTCGTATCCACTTCATCACCTCCTAGATGAACAAATCTGTACTTGAATATCTTGCTAAAATCTGAAACACAGAAAGTTTCCATATAATCATGAATCTATTACTATTTTGACTCATAGAGGTCATGAAGTTATTTTCCGTGAGCATTACCAGAGAGAATTCCGTCTATTACTTTGAAAGTGAAATCATTGCTTATGTCAAGTGGCTGTTGACAATCTTTTGACGGCCATAATGAAGGATAACCAGTACCCCTGAAATTGAACAATTGCTGGATCGATTAGATTGCAAGGGAAAAAAATTCTTGTTGAAATTTGATTCAAACAACTAATATCCAAATAGAATGTCATCACCCCATACCAAGATTGAGCATGTCCTGGAACGTCTAGTTCAGCTAATACATTGATTCCACGTCTACCTGCATATCTGCAACTCTTAAACATTAAACGTTATTTGCACATGAAAAGCCAAGGATAGAAGAATGAAGAAGCATGAAAGAAATAACTTGCCTCACAATCTCAGCAGCATCAGCCACAGTATACCGCTCTGAACTTGAGTAAGCACCATTCCATAGTTTCGGATATGAGGGTATCTCAAATGGGAATGATTGTGTATCTACAATGTGCCAGTGCAGCACATTCTGCACATAGCAAATTGTGGGGATCAGAGTCTTAGTAATCAATAAGAAGTATTATATATGCATTTCGTTTCCCGACGTGCTGACACCATCAAATTGTTAACGTAATAAGGACTTGAATAACCGACAAGAATAAGATGTCACCTAAGTCCGCTGTCTAAGAACCTCCTGTGGTCCGGCACAAAGTTAAGCGAGATACCTTATTCAAATTACTGATTTTGACATTGTATCCATATTATTGACTTTTCTTTATTTTTAGCAAGTTTTACTGGGTGACTTTCCAAACAAGATTTAGGATAAGCACCAGCCACTGCTTAAGGCATAAAAAATGCATTCCTGAAGTAAAAAAAGAGTGTTTTCTGGGGGAAAAATAGATAGCAATTCACAGTATATCCAAATCAACTAAATTGGCATGCAAACAAAAGGTTTAAATACTTCACATTGTCCAACAGTTATAGTATCAATCTCGCCTCGCTAATACGTGAGGCTCTATCATCTACTCAGCGCTGCTTGAAAAACTTAAAAAGGAAAATTTTCAGAAAGTTATAATAATGAGACAAGTATAAGAAGGTTTTCTTCCATCCCCTTTTCCTGAGGAAGCAGGGTTGCACAGACTTTGCAAGTTTCCCAAGGCGAGGATGCAAAGAACTCCACATAAAAAAATAAAAAATAAAAATAGATGTTTTGGGACAGAAAGATTTAGGGAGACATAAAGTAAAAAATTATTAAGAGGTCCATAAAAGTAGTACATGATATTTAGCCGGAAAAAAGTTACTATACCAGTTTTGCATAAGCCATAGAATCAATAACCTTCAATATCACAGGCAACGGCAGATAGTGACGGGAAGTGTCTGTAAGACGATGAAGGATATCAGCAAATCTTAATTTCAGAAGAGAACTTGACAGAATATGACATGGTAAATTTCCTACTTGGATAGTTTTCGTTGTGCTAAACTAGAAAAGAAAGATGAAATAAGTAAAAGCAACGGTCCCTAAAATTATTAGAGAAGTTTCTCACCAATTAAAAGCCCTCGATAAGAGAATCTTGGTCGATCAACTATGGTCCACGGAACTTGATGAACTTCAATTGTTCTGGTTGTAAAGTTAAAATGGCATACTTGACTAAATGTCTGTTTACGATGCCAAAACAAACATTAGAGCATCTAACTAAAGCAAAATATAATTGACTAACTACTAACAGCTGTTCAGCTTGAGCGGAAGCATCAAACCTGCAAACCATGCAAAGCCCCATAAACTGTTTTTGCCTGCATTAAATAGTGACTATCAGAAAGTTAAAATCTTTCAGTGTGATAAGCATAAAAGAATCTCTCGCCATCCAATCATATAAGCACAGATGCGAGCAAACAAATTGCATGTACGGTTGTTTTCAAACACTCCGTACAACTTCAAGAAGAATAAAAGTCAAAGAAGAAGAAAAAATAGAACCGCGTGAAAACAGATGCAAGTAGAGAGAGTTTATACAGTCATATTTTAAGCATATCATGCAACTTCAGAAAGACATAGTAATACAGAAAAATAAATATATTAGCAGTAGCTGCCTCTGCGTTGTTCTCAAATGAAAATTTAATGAAATTCACCACCTATTGCTGAAATATTCTTCCCCTTGTACCAATCAAAATTTGTTTGGTTAGTGAGTTAATTTCTAATTCAATAAGTAAACACAAAAATTGTAAAGGAACAGGATGAGCTACCTCGCACTATAATACGAGGTAGCTAAGCTAACAAAGTCTAGCTTTGAAAATGTTTCTGTGATAAAAGATAATTATTGGCTATAACCTAACCCATTGATTTTGGCAAAAAATCACTTTAAGGTCTATCATAGAGTACAACAACAATAACAATAACAAACCCAGTGTAATCTCACAAGTGGGGTATGGGGAGGGTAGTGTGTACGCAAACCAGAGGCGGATGTAGTATATTATGTACGGGTTCAACTGAACCCATAACTTTCGACGCGGAGTAAAAATTTGTATGTAAAAATTTATTAAAATTGCAAAAATAGTAGATCTGAACCCATAACTTTCGACGCGGAGTAAAAATTTGTATGTAAAAATTTATTAAAATTGCAAAAATAGTAGATCTGAACCCATAACTTTAAAAATATAATGGATTCAATGTTAAAAATTTTAAAATTGAACCCATAGGAATTAAATCCTGGATCCGCCTCTGACGCAAACCCTACCCCTATCTTATGAAGATAGAGAGGTTGTTTCCAGTAAACCTTCGGCTAAGGTCTATCATAGAGTAGAGATAACAATACTGCAGTAGTGCTACAGGGATATGCATTTGATTGCACAAAATATCTTGTAAAAGAGATGCATCATAGTATCAACAGAGGAAAGCTGATAACATATACCGTCAAATGTGCATAGGCTGGGTTTCCATGTGCTGGTATGGTCAAGTTGTAGGACTCATCAACACCATATTGTAGCTGCATCGCACAAGGTTTTATCAGTTGGTTTAGAAAATGCCATTCAAGGAAAGATGTGTAAAGATTGAATTGAGCAGAATGAAAGCACCTGAAATATTTAAATCGTGCAGTAATTCATTTGACTGAGACAGTTTATTAGAATTCGAAGTCTTAATGTGAAATTTACCAAATACTTTCTGTAGTTCACTACAATAATAAATTAAAAACAGTCATCATATGTTATCCTCTGCAAAACTATTAATCCACAAGCCAGTCGAAATGTGCAACAAAAATAGCGCTCCATAGAAACTTTATTTATTGGAGGATTATTTTAGTGGAAAGTAAGAGTTCATAACTTTTTTTGGTGAAACGACTGACATCTCAGAAGTGATGTGCATAACTATCCCATCATTTTCTTCTTCTTCCTTTTTTTTTGTGTGTGGCGGGGGGGATTGAAAAATTGACTCAAATGGCAGAGTGACAAAGCTCTTCCCACATACTACTTATTTTCCTTTGACAAAGCCCATAATTCATTGAGTTGCAGAACCAATTACCAGCTAAACGACCGTATAACAATAAAGTAAGTGACCAAGCTCAAAGCAAAGAACAAAAAGCTATGTGATCATTTTCTGAGCTCAACCGGGAGATTACCTCATCACTTGGAGAAAGGACAACCACATGAATTCCCTTTAGCACTGAAGAGGGGCCGACATAAGAGAAGTTGGCATCAACGACATGAGCTACCTTAACGACATCAAGTAACCTTGAAAAACCTTCCTTGAGAATTCCAGAGGCATCGGTGTACTTGCTGCCTTCAGTCTTGAGCACAAAATCATTACTAAGTTGAAGTGTCCTATGTCCATAGCTAACTGATAGTGGCATCGGCCATATCTTCAAATTCTTAATGTTAGCAGCTGCTGATATTACGAGAATCTGAACCACAACTGCAAATAATATGCTCCGCAATCCTAACTTCCCCATCACTATACTCTAGCAACAGAAATCGAATGAACAAAATCAGACATTCAACTATACGAAAATCTACAGAAACTGATAATATTAGCTACAAGGAAATGGGAAGCCATTTGAACCTGAGGCGCTTAGCTTAAAAGATAAACAAAAATTCGCATACTTTTAGTAGCAGTTAACATGAATTAAAGGTCATAGCATCGTATAAATAAACTAATAAAATGCAAGAAGAAAAAACAATCAATGAATTAAAGCAGACCAACACCACTCCCACCCCATATATATTGACATCTATCGGCGAAATGCAATTATCAGCCCTTGTCTCACCCCATATGAAGAAAAAAAGGTGTTAAATTGGTAAACAATCAATAAAATCTGCAGCACTAATTAGAAAGTGAAGCAAAAGAAGAAACTCATTCTTTCAAATCAAAGAAAAGAACAATCTTACACTTTCCCTTCCCATATAATAAAAACCAAGCTGAAATAACCTATTCTTTAAAAGCAAAGAAAAGAACCAACTTTATACTTCTTCTACTAATATACTTACAGATACTAAAACCAAACTGCATAAAATCTATCTATCATGGAAATGCAATTATCAGCCACTGTCCCACCCCAAATGGTAAAAAAAAAAAAAAAAAAAAGGGTGCGAATTGGTAACAAAATCATCGAAAACAGCAGCATTAATAAAAAAAAAAAAGTGAAGCAACAAAAAAGAAAGAACTCCATTCTTTCAAATAAAACAAAAAGAACAATCTTTACACTTCCCCTTGGTTTGGAGGGTGGTCATCCATATGGATGACCTGGGATCGAATACCCCTCAATGCCTTCTGGATTGAGCCTGTCGCACAGGGCTTGCCTAGTGCGGTTTATATCCCTATGTAGTTTACAGGCTATTACACAGGGGGAGGTTTAGCCATTGCGCATAAAGTGCTCACCCGAAGGGCAGAGGCTGTGGCAGAGGTTGTAGCGGCTGCGAAATCCAGTGTAATCCCATAAGTGCTCTGTGGAGGGTAGGGTGTACGCAGACCTTACCTTACCCGGTGAAGGTAGAGAAACTGTTTCCGATACACCCGTAGCTCAAGAATACAATTCCTCCTCACATTTAGTTAAAATGAAGCTTAAAATAAGTAACCAATTCTTTCAAGGCAAATAAAAGAACCAATCTTTTTACTTCTACTAACATGCTTACAGATTCTAAAACCAAACAGCAAAAAAAACTATCAGAGAAATGCAATTATAAGCCCCCTGTCCCACCCCAAATGAAAAAAAAATGTTGAATTGGTAAACAAATCATTTTTTTAAAAAAAACAGCAGCAATAATTACAAAATGAAGCCAAAAAAAATCCAATTCTTTCAAATCAAATAAAAGAACAATCTTTACACTTCCCTTTCACATATAGTAGTAAAAACCAAGGTGAAAAGAAGTAATTCATTCTTTCAAATCAAATAAAAGAACAATCTTTACAAGCTTAAATAACCCCTTCTATTAAAGCAAAGAAAAGAACAATCTTTGAACCTATCAAACATACTTACAGATACTAAAATCAAACTGTATATCAAAAAAAAAAAAAATGAAATGTTGATCTTTACATAAGAAAAGAACAATCTTTATACTTATCTAACATACTTACATATACTAAAACCAAACTGTATATCAAGAAATATGAAATGTGGATACTCACAGAGCTTCAACATAAAAAAACTAGGAATCCCAAGGGAGCAAAATCCTGGATTATGAATCAAATACAATCCAAGAACTAATGATGAAATATATAATTTTATTAAAGAATCAAAAGGGATAAGAAAAAGGTGACATTTATTAGTTGAACAACTCAAAAGAGCAAGTGGGAAACAGATAGAGAAGGCAATTAGTATTACCTAAGTAATCATATTCACATTCATTTCTAATCTTTCAATATGGGTTTTAAGTAATCTTGAAAATATTTTTAATATTATTATTATTTTATTATTAAACATGAAATTATACCCATTGTCTTGTCAGAAAAAGACATTGGTCCCCTTGTAATTCTCTGTTCTGCACAAGCCTTTTCTCTGTCTTTTTCTACATAAATATTTTAAATTCAATAATCTATAATTGTTGTGAAAGATAAAATAGTGAAAAACAATTATCCCGCCATTATGATTTAACGTCTGTTCACGTGCTGGTTTATGATACAAGTATTGCCTTAATGAGTTAACCCCTTTTTGGAGAAAAGAATAAGGAAAGAAACGTGCCTCGCACGTGATAATCATAATATTGGAAGATTCTTTTAATTTGTGTAGGATTTTAGATTCCATTTCACACCCAAAAAAAAAAAAAAAGCTTTTTAAAATAAAAAACGTTTTTCAATAAAAAAAATTAAAAATGTGTTTGTCGTGAAATTTTGCAAGTTTTTGAAATTTTTTCAAAAATGAGTTTTTCAAATATCACTTTTCAATATTTTTTCAAATAAAATGCATGTCTAAACATAATTTCAAATTTCAAATATTATTTTTCAACTTAACTCAAAATATTACTTTTTTCAATAATTACAATTTTTATGTCCAAACGCCTAATTAGATAACTTTTTTTTATAATAATTTGTGTAAGATTTTCATAATATATTGGAATTTAATTTTAAAATATATGAGGTATATTTGTGACATTATATTTGTGTAAAATTTCTATAATGGGTGTGACAAGAGTGGGTTGCTCTAGTGGTGAGCACCTTTGCCGAGGGTCTATCGAAAACAGTCTCTCTACCCCAATCGAAAACAGTCTCTCTATCCCAGGGTAGGGGTAAGGTGTGCGTACACACTACCCTCCCCTAATTTACCATTTAATCTATGTTGACGTTGTTCTTTAAGTCATGCAAACTTTCATGTAAGAACGAGTTTTTACCAAAAAAACATGAATGAATTTACTTAGGGATATCAAAACAAGCTCCAATTTTATAAAATATATACTAAGATTTTTATTTTTTTGCATTACAAAATAAATGAATTGAATTGATTTAGAGAAAGCTCCTTTGACCAATTGTAAGAAGAAATTATTTTGAGGAGTGGTTGTAAATTGGACATATTATGTTACAATTAATTGTTTACTGAATTCATATTTCACCAAACAAACATTAGCTCCAGGCTCTAGCAAAGATTAAACAGATTTGATTATGACCAATATTTTTTAGTTAATTTATTTTAACTACATACCAGGAATATTAGTGTTAGTCTTGTATTCTTTTATTGCTAGAGTTTTGTTGCTACATTTTTTTTTTTGCTTCGTTTTCATATTATTTTGTTGTTGTTATTGCTTGTTGCTACTGTTTTGTTTTCATTTTTTCTTGAGCTGGAGTCTATCGGAAATAGCTTCTCTACCTTCTAGGTAGGGGTAAAGTCTGTATACACACTATCCTCTCCAAACCCCACTTATGAAATTATACTAGGTTTATTGTTGTTGTTTTATTTTAACCTCATCCAAAAGTTGACGCCTAATTGTAGATTTGGTAGTTCATAAACCAAAAAAAGGTTTTTGTGGTCAAAGTAAATAATAGAATAATTCGGGTTTGTAATAATCAATTTTGTTTCACTTTTCTTAATATAAATAAATAATAAATAATGGAAACAATATATCGAGAGAATAAAGAAAAAGAAATCTTATTGATAAACACAGCTTCATTCCAAGAAGAGAGAACATGATTCTTCAAATATCAGAGAATAAAATATTAAGTGATTGACAGTACAGTTTCGCGAATTGCTTGATAAACGTACAAAATATGGTAAGAGGAGTTTATATAAGGTACAATATGTAACTGTTTTGCCTTACTTAATTCTCGCATGTTACTAACATTTATTACATTGGTTGCATGTTATTTGGATAAATTGTAACGGATATGGTAATAATAGTCAATCGCGTACAATCATGGATTATGCCGATTTCTTTCTATATTCATGGCTATTAATGAGCCTTCCTTCTTAGCGTCTTTAATTATCCATCCCGCGCCTATTTTTTCTTTTCCAACTCTCAGGTACGGTATCTTTATAAGCGATCCCGTGGGTGTTTTACTCATGTTTTTCCTAACCTTCATTCTTCTTTATCCCTTTGACTCTTATGCCACCTGTCAACATACCATTAGTCCACATGGCGAATCTATTTTTCCACAAATACAGTAATTTTTTACACACTTTGCTTATTTGACTCTGATTATTACCGATTATATTTTTTTGGGGTACTCGGTTAATTCGATTTGCTATGGAAAATCCACTTTACAAGATAAAACGCTCCCTATTAAAAATAATTTTATTTTCGGGGCTCAAATCACAAAAGTTTGGTTAAAGATGAATATTCACTTACTGTTTCAATACAACCTTTTAATAGTAGTACTAACTATTAAATGCACAATGTCTGCAAGTAGAGCTACTCTCTAGCAAATTTTGTTTTTTCCCCTATGGTTTAGATATAATTATCAACATATATATTTCGACTTTTACCAGATTACTATTGTGGCAAATGCAAGAAAATCCTCCTACTTTTTCACTATATTATAAATATACATAATATCGAGATATGAAAACACTATATAGTTGAAATCTATTAGGCATATTGAACCAATGTAACACTTTCCCCAACTCCTCTATCCACGACGTTGACGTTGTGAGATAACACCTTGTTTGGATGATTGTTACTTGTGATATTGTATGGTATTATTATTATAAATATAATATATATTTTAATTATTATTTATATTTTATTGTATCGTATCATTAAATCCGTCACTACGTAATAACAAAAAGTGACATTTTATGTAACGATGGGTGTGGTGGCATCGTTACTTTATTTTTTTTCTCCCTTCTTGCCTTCCTTATAATTAAATAATCATATTTTATCTTTTACGTATCCTATTTTTTATCTAATAATTCTACTTCATATTCTATTTTTAGTAATGCTGCCAATTTATTCTTTATATTATTGGTGCGTGATATCATGAAACGACGGCAAACGATACAATCTATCCAAACGTTGTATTCGTCAAACAATACAATACAATGCAGTACAACCAAGGCGCACACACCCTAGTGTGAGCGGTGTCGGTAGGATGTACTGTAACGACTCGACCGATCATTTTAAGTGTATTAGCCCCGATCCCCTATTTACTAATTTCCATGTATCTGTTCCTACTTATGTGACTTGTCGGGAGGTTTTGTTTTTTGTTTCGAAGTATTTTGGGACACTTAGTCCATAAAACGGAAGCTTAAATCTTAAGATTTTGACCGTAGTCGAAATTATGTGAAGACAACTCCGGAATGGAGTTCCGTCAGTTTCGTTAGCTCTGTTGGGTGATTTTAGGCTTAGGAGCGTGTCCGGACTGTGAATTTGAGGTCCGTAACTAATTTAGGCTTGAAATGGCGAAAGTCAAATTTTTGGAAAGTTTGACCGGGGGTTGACTTTTTGATATCGGGGTCGGATTAAAATTTCAGAACTTGGAGTAGGTTCGTGGGGTCATTTATGACTTGTGTGCAAAATTTGGGGTCAATCGGACGTGATTTGATAGGTTTTGATGCCGTTTGTAGAATTTAGAAATTTTAAAGTTCATTAGGCTTGAATCCGTGTGTAATTCGTGTTTTGGGTGTTGTTCGAAGTGATTAGAAGATTTGACTAAGTTCGTAGCGGGTTATAAGACTTGTTGGTATATTTGGTTGAGGTCCCGGAGACCTCGAGTCGATTTCGGGTGGTTAACAGATCAAAATTTGATGTTGAAGGATAGCTGAAGTGTTGTTCTTACTGGTGTAATCGCACTTACGAGTGGGGAACCGCAGGTGCGGACACGCAGAAGAAAAGAGGAGGCCGCAGATATGGGCAAGGCCAAGAAGGGCAGGGGGCACAGGTGCGAGAAAGGATGCACATCTGCGATTCCGCAAATGCGATCATTGGCCGCAAATGCGAAAATAGAAAAGTTTGGCATTTCCGCAGAAGCGGACGAAGGGCCGCAGGAGCGAATCCACAGGTACGAGACCTGGAGCGCAGGTGCGAGCCCAGTGTTTTTAGTGGATTCCGCAGGTGCGGATGTTTTTGCGCAGGAGTGGTTCCGCAGGTGCGAAAAGCCTGGGCAGAAGGTATAAAAGCAAGGGTTCGCAATTTTTGTCTTGTTTCAATATTTTGGACTCGAACTTAGGCGATTTTGGAAAAAGATTTTCGAGGTAATTATTGAGGTAAACTTCTTGTACTCATTTTTAATCATAAAATTTGTTTCCCCACTGATTTCCCCACGCATTAGTGAGATTTTGAAGTAAAATTTGGGGGTTTAGGGCTTGAAAATTGGAGATGAGTTTTGGGGATTTGAATGGCCATTTGATGTCGAATTTTGGTAAATTTGGTATGGTTAGACTCATGAGTGAATGATCTTTCGGGTGTTGTGACTTTTGTTGGATTTCAAGACGTGAGCCCAGAGGCCGGTTTGACCCGATTTCGGATTTTTGGCTATGATTTAGTACTTTTTTTGTGAAATTGATTCCTTTAGCCTATATTGATTGTATTATATTATTTGTGGCTAGATTCGGGACGTTTGGATACTGATTTGAGAGGCAAAGGCATTTCGACGTAAGGATTTGCCCGGTTTGAGGTAAGT